AAATAAATAAAAATAAAAAATACAAAGGCCATGTTTGGTTTTTTTTTAATTTTTTTTTAAATATAAACTAATTTTATAAAATAAATATCAAAAAATATTTTTAATTTTTAAAAAATTATTTTTAATCTTCTAAAATATAAAAATATAAAAATATAAAATATTTTTAGCCTTCTAAAATATAAAAATAATAAGTGTTTTAATTTTTTTTATTTGTTTCACCAAATTAATTTTCAAAACAATTCTGAAACAAGTTTATGAAAATCAAATCAAACATGACGACACACACAAAATATATGATTTCCCTATTAAATAAAAAAAAAAAGCACCAGAAAGTGATTAAATCTCTTTATAATACATCACATAAAAGATGCTTGTAAACAAAAGTCAAATGGTAATTCAACACAAGTCTATATTATATTATCATCGAAACCAATAAACGTAAAAGAGTTTTTCATTGTTGCTTTTCTCTCAGCAAAAGTTGCTAAATGACTAGGGTTTTTTTGATTTGACTTACATTTTTGCTTATATAGGCAGCGGTAAAAGAGTCTTTTGATTTTATTTTCTAATTAAAGAGAAATTCTATTTTCACCGCCTTGATTAACTCAGTGCATATCTTTCTTCTAAATATTTTTTTATTACATTTCATCCTTTAATCAAATTATCAACGCACCCCTCACTCCCTCCTTTCCAACTCAACTCTAGCATTTCCCATTTCTGACCATCTTCCACTCTCTGGCTTTCTAGTAAAGGGTTTTGACGTCAACCCCAACCTTCTTCAAGGTCTTCTTCAAGTAACCCTTTTCGAAAGTCTTTGCTTTGGCTTCGAACTGAGACAGAGTATAATTCTCGCTGCTTTGCCACACAGGTTTTTGAACCAGCCAATGCTTCCGAAGACAGAACCTGATTTGTTGCTGCCTAGTGGTGAATGTGGGAGCCAAATTAGGGCTCGAAATGGTGGACCTCGCAGCCAGAGACCGATTGAGGTTCGCAATTACGGTCTTCTTCAGTAGAGCCGAGACGGGAGGAACAATGTTGCAGATTCCATACTGGGAGGCCTCTTTCTCAATCTTGAAAATGTAAGCAATTGGATCTTGGAACTCTACTAGGGTTGGGTGGTACTCGGGAGCCAGAGGTAGGGTTTTGAGCCATGGAAACACTTCTGTTGCAGTCGGTTGCTCTGCTGTAACTGCTATTGAAACCATTAAATCAACTACAATTGCATATACATGAATATATATATATATATATATGTGTGTGTGTGTGTGTGTGTGTCAGAGATTTACAAGTCTCAGATAGAGAGGGAAAGAAGGAGTTGTTGAGATTCTATTCCCTTATTTTCTTTTTGGATTTTCTTTTCTTTTCTTTTCTTTTCCTCTGTTTTCGATACGTTTAACAGAGGAGAGAAAAATAGAGGAAATAGGGTAGAGGTGAGGAGTGAGTGAACAGAGAGAGTGGAACATGCGCAGAAAGGCTGAGAAGGGAACGGAGCCGGTGGAAGGCGGTGGTTGCCGACAATGGTTAGGGTTAGGATTTGTTGGAGAAAGTGAGGTTGGTTTAGTGTTATCTAAAAATTATTGATGTGTATTAAGATAAAATTAAAAGTTTTAATTTGTGTATGATGTAAGCTGAGTAAATGATGTATAAGATAGGTAAGGATGTGTAAATAGAATTATCGTAGTTTAGGATATATGATCCCACCCTTATCTCATTAGTAATAATCTTATAAATTTGTTGGATTAATTATCTATTGAATTAATAATCCTGAAACAAAATTTTAAAACAAACACAGAATTATTAGACCTATGAATTAATAATCTTAATCTCATACTCTAATCCCGTCAATCAAACGTGCCCAAAATGTATTCCCAATCAGACTATAAAAACAATTACTTCATATAAAAAAAATTTAAAAGCTTAATTATAGTGCTTGATTAATTACATCATAAAAATTTAATTATTTGATTCACAGAGTATTTTAAATTGTTGTTGTGTCCAAAGTCTATGACCAAACAAGGAATTGTACAAAAGAATTTTTTTTTTTTTTTTTCAAATAAATAAGCCAATCAATCAAAATATTTAACATTAAAAATTATGATTGAATCATAAAAATATTTATAAAGAAACTATCAAGATTTCGCCTCTAATCTTAGCGAAGAAATTTAGAATATCATAAAAACCGAAAGAAAAATCTATTACAATATTTTCTCAATGAATTCAATCCCCCTGTTTGTACATGTATTAATAGAGTTTAATGTACACAAGCTAAGGGCGGTTCCATCTTTCCATTTGTTTGTTTTCATTATTATACTACTTCCCAAATTGTTTATCCAGCACAAAAAATTAAAATTTTAAAATAATATATTTTTATATTAAAATTTTAATTTTTTTTACAAAAATTAAAAGTACTTAATGACAACTTTCAATTGTTGAATTTTTAAGAAAATCTGAACTCTATACTTTAGTTTTATTGGAATGTGATCCTTTGTAGTTTTAATTTAAACAATGTGAATTATATTTTTGTTTTGTTGCAATGTGATCTTCCGGCACTTGTCGTTAGGATTTTGAACCCAAAAAAAAAAATCATGAATTTTGAATAAAAGAAAAATCACTTGCAAAACTAAAAAGAATCGAAGTGAAATTCAAAAAAAATTATAAGGACTACAATGTAATAAATAAATTATACTATGTCTTTATAGTTTCTTTTGTATTTCATCTTAGTTCCTCCTGGTCTTTTTCTGTTTAAAATGTTAGCAACTAACAATGGAGGGATTATATTGCAACAAAATGAAAAATTTATAGTTTAAATTATTCAAATTAAAATTAAAGACACTAAAATTCTATTTTTCTTTTGACTTTTTAAAGCGTATAAAAATAGAGAGAGAGAGTGTGTGTTAATTGACTTTTTATAATAATTTTTTTAGAAAAAATCACTTTCCAGTGTATTTTTAAAAAAATATTTACAAAATCCTTGAAAATTTATAATTTTAATTATTGATATTAATAAATTTTTTCACTTATCAGTAATTATTTTTAAACGCTTATATGTAATTTTTCAATTTTTTAACTATATCAACTACTTTCCAAACACCCCTCACTGTACAATAAGAAATCCACCATCATCACTTATCATCAATTATCTGCTTACTTATCACAAGTTTCCCACCATAGCGTTGTATAGACAGAGTCAGGACCATCATGATATAATAACCAACATAAATTAGTCATAGATATTCTTTCAAGCAACCCACGAATGCTAGCTCATTGCATAATACCCCTACAACATAAAATTAATCATTAGACACAACAAACATAAATTGAGATGAAATTAATATAAAAAAATGTATATTAATAGCCAAAAATAATGAAATATTTATACACTTTCTAACATTAGTCACATAATTTAGAACTTCGTTTAAACAAAATGCTAATGACTCCCTTGAGTTTGAAGACCCATTTTGGGCTCTTGAAGTAAGCACCATTAATCTCTTTCTTTTTCTTTGTTTTTTGTATAATTTTGTATGTATGTTTGTATCTAAATTATTTTTGTATGGATGGTATTCGGATGAGCTCTGAGTGTTAGGTGAAGGCAACATAGGAGCATCCTCGATTCTTTGATTCTGGCAAGGTTGTTTGTATTACATGCATACATAAACATGGGTGATTATTCAGTATTCCTGGAGTATGGACACGTGGTACTCCATAAGATTTTGATTGGTGGAGAGACACAAGAGCCCACGATTTATGTTGGAGATGGGGAACAACATGAAGCTAAGTAATTAGTGATTGATTTGGAGTATGGACACGTGGTGCTCCGGGAGTATTGAATAATTTCCCCATAAACACATATCACGTAAATATACTGTCATATTTTTTTATTTTCAATGTTAATAAATAGGTTTGTTTTTTTATTTATAAATTTTTATATTTCGAATTTTTCCATGTTTCAAACAATATGTCTCCGTGCGTATGATATATTTAACTTTGTATTTATGTCATCTTAATTGTTTGCCTTTAAATTTACTTCTCATAATAAAAATATTCTATTGGTTTTTGGTGATTTTGTCTACACTGTTTGATTTGATTTCGTTCAACAAGGATCAATGTTCTAAGTAGATTGGTTAGGTCCTTTAACTACTATTTGGCATTAGTTCTTGATATATATATATACTAGGGATAACCCGTGCCTGAAGGCACTGTAAACAATTTTTTTTTGATACCACACGTGTTACGAAATTCAATTATAATAAATCAATTCAAAATGATAATATCACTCTAATTTAAAACTTTACATAGAAAGAGGAACAAAATATATAAAGAAAATCTTTTATTTCAAATCTTGTATTTCCCAATGAATTTATCATGAATGTAAGCTTCCCACCTCATTCACATAATTGGGGTGGTGCCTTCAAGAGTTCCCACCTCATTCTCTAACATATTTTCAAAATCATCCATGTTTAAGGAATAGTTCAAATCAGTCTACTAAAACATCAAATATCAATAGAAATAGTTCAAATCCTCCTAACTACTTATAAATAAATGAAATAAAACTAACCCAAGTTACTTTGAAGACTAACCTTATCGTTGATATCAGAATATCATAGATGATATAACAAATCGAAGCTACTTTCACAACCAGTTGTGTTGGAATGTCAGAGGTCCTGAGAAGAGAAATGAATTCAAAAACAAATCATGAAAATAGTGCATTAAAATACACTGGTCTTTCTTAATCAAGAAACATAAAATTCATAACCATGATCAAATTGCGAGGGAGGGGGGACTAAAGTCAAGTATATAAAAATTAAGAGACAATAATACTATACCATCCTCCTTCAATCCACTAATAAATTATTTTTTTTCAATGTAACTCTAACATCCTGCATAATAGATACTAAATTTATACAAAAATCCATGTCAAGCATTTGTGACTTCCATCAAAATATGCAAGGATACTAAATTAAATTGTTGCACTTAAATTTAGTGAATTTTCAAGAGCACTTTACGGTCCACACTCAATTACCATCCATAAAGTCCAATATTTTACATTGATAAGAGACTTTACAAAAATATTAGAAATCTATTAAAATACATATCAGTAGGAAGCTTTACAAAAGTGGTTAACATCAAGCTTAATAAAAGTGCTTTACAAAAGTACTTTTTGTCAACTTTACAAAATGTATGCCATATAATGTCTTCAAACTTGGACGCCTCTACAAAAACTTAGACGCCTTTAGAAAAAGTACTTGGACGCCTCTAAAGCTCTTGGACGCCTTCAAACTTGTTTTCCATCACATTTTGAAATGTCCATGTATTAACTTCTATGTACTTTTTCCAGTGAGGAGCATGCACAACAATTTCATATTTAAAAAACAATAACATTAGCATATTGAAACAATACGAAAAATAGATATTAAAACAATAAGGACTAAGAATACCTTATTACAATTCCATCGGAGTAATGTACTCTTATTTATCCTCTTGAGCTCCATAGCTTTTTCAACCCAATCCTACAAAAGTTTGACTTGATCATAATTTAAACAAAATTTTAATTAAAATACACTTTCAATTTATTTCCTTCTTTCATCATTTGTATTCTTTTTTAAACTTTAGTTATTTCCCTCTTCTATTTGGAAAATTTTATATATCTTTCTAAAAGATCCTTTATAATTTTTTCTAGTGTATTGTTTTTTAAGGATGCATAATTTGGTTTGGAAATTAGTAATATTACGGATTAAAAGCACCATGCCCATCTTCACAAACTTTACAGTAAAAAAAATTACACATAAATTATGCATGCTTCAAAATATCACATTCTCCCATGATTTTCTTTACACATGCTCCAAAACAAACTGGAAAAGAACCATATCATTTGTGTATTTTTTATACCCTTTCTCGAGTAGTTTTCCTTTCCTTTTCTTTTAAGCTTCTCCTTTTCTTTTGCCTTTTAAAAAATAAGCAAAAATATGAGAAACAAATAAATTTGATTAGTGGGCTTACCCCATGAACACAGAGGACATTGTAGTCCTATTCATTATGGAGCATAACACTGATCTTTCTGTTTCGAGGAAACTGAACCTGTTTATATATAGAAATGCATTTGAAAGGTAAAAGAAAAATTATATTAAGGAATGTAGATTAAATAAAAAATGAGTATAAAGATCTAATATTACTGTTTCCTCTAACATATCATCCACCTGTAAAGAATAATACAAAAGCATTTGATTATGAAAAAAATTATAAATAATAAGTAAGAAATTAAGCCTCAATTCATAAACTATAAACTAAACATATGAATGTTGTCCATGATTTCAATTAAAATGAACTCCAAGGTTAAGTGTACTATTGAATATAGCGATTGGAATAATACATTAACCTTATGTATTGATTGGTTGTATATGATAACTGTTTATATACATTGTTTGTGTGGGAGGAGAAAGGGGCTGTACTCCACGGTTTATTGGAAGAAAGGGGCTGTACCTCTAAACCGGAAGGTTTATTGGAAAAAAGGGGCTGGACCTCTAAATCAGAAATTGTGTTATGCAGATACAGCTCATATGCTTATCTATTGAAGTGCTGATACAGCTTATATGCTTATCTATTGAAGTGCAGATACAGCTCATATGCTTATCTATTGAAGTGCAGATACAGCTAATATGCTTATTTGTTGATGTATTGACACAGCTTGTATGGTTATCTGTTGATGTATTGATATAGCTAGTATGCTTATCTATTGCGAAATGTAAATGCTTAATATGAGTTTTTGTCTCATATAGGTTGTTTGACCAGGCTCTGAGTTATAGTTATGAATTGAGAATTGGTTAAGAAACGGAAAGTGAATGTAACATGGACATGATTGTTGTTAAACTGTAACACATTATAAATTGGAATATAAGTGCGGACCACCCATTGGATGCTATTATCTTAGTCATTGTTTATTTCCTACCTCATTCACATAATTGGGGTGGTGCCTTCAAGAGTTCCCACCTCATTTTCTAGCATATTTTCAAAATTAGCCCTGTTTAAGGAATAGTTCAAATTAGTCTACTAAAACATCAAATATCAATAGAAATAGTTCAAATCCTCCTAACTACTTATAAATAAATGAAATAAAACTAACCCAAGTTACTTTGAAGACTAACCTTATCGTTGATATCAGAATATCATAGATGATATAACAAATCGAAGCTACTTTCACAACCAGTTGTGTTGGAATGTCAGAGGTCCTGAGAAGAGAAATGAATTCAAAAACAAATTATGAAAATAGTGCATTAAAATACGCTGGTCTTTCTTAATCAAGAAACATAAAATTCATAACCATGATCAAATTGCGAGGGAGGAGGGACTAAAGTCAAGTATACAAAAATTAAGTGGCAACAATACTATAACATCCTCCTTCAATCCACTAATAAATTATTCTTTTTCAATACAACTCTAACATCCTGCATAATAGACACTAAATTTACACAAAAATCCATGTCAAGCATTTGTGACTTCCATCAAAATATGCAAGGATACTAAATTAAATTGTTGCACTGAAATTTAGTGAATTTTCAAGGGCACTTTACGGTCCACACTCAATAACCATCCATAAGGTCCAATATTTTACATTGATAAGAGACTTTACAAAAATATTAGAAATCCATTAAAATACATATCAGTAGGAAGCTTTACAAAAGTGGTTAACATCAAGAATACAAAAGTGGTTAACATCAAGCTTTACAAAAGTGCTTTACAAAAGTACTTTTTGTCAACTTTACAAAATGTATGCCATATAATGTCTTCAAACTTGGACGCCTCTACAAAAACTTAGACGCCTTTAGAAAAAGTACTTGGACGCCTCTAAAGCTCTTGGACACCTTCAAACTTGTTTTCCATCACATTTTGAAATGTCCATGTATCAACTTCTATGTACTTTTTCCAGTGAGGAGCATGCACAACAATTTCATATTTAAAAAACAATAACATTAGCATATTGAAACAATACGAAAAATAGATATTAAAACAATAAGGACTAAGAATACCTTATTACAATTCCATCGGAGTAATGTACTCTTATTTATCCTCTTGAGCTCCATAGCTTTTTCAACCCAATCCTACAAAAGTTTGACTTGATCATAATTTAAACAAAATTTTAATTAAAATACACTTTCAATTTATTTCCTTCTTTCATCATTTGTATTCTTTTTTAAACTTTAGTTATTTCCCTCTTCTATTTGGAAAATTTTATATATCTTTCTAAAAGATCCTTTATAATTTTTTTTAGTGTATTGTTTTTTAAGGATGCATAATTTGGTTTGGAAATTAGTAATATTACGGATTAAAAGCACCATGCCTATCTTCACAAACTTTACAGTAAAAAAAATTACACATAAATTATGCATGCTTCAAAATATCACATTCCCCCATGATTTTCTTTACACATGCTCCAAAACAAACTGGAAAAGAACCATATTACTTGTGTATTTTTTATACCCTTTCTCGAGTAGTTTTCCTTTCCTTTTCTTTTAAGCTTCTTCTTTTCTTTTGCCTTTTAAAAAATAAGCAAAAATATGAGAAACAAATAAATTTGATTAGTGGGCTTACCCCATGAACACAGAGGACATTGTAGTCCTATTCATTATGGAGCATAACACTGATCTTTCTGTTTCGAGGAAACTGAACCTGTGTATATATAGAAATGCATTTGAAAGGTAAAAGAAAAATTATATTAAGGAATGTAGATTAAATAAAAAATGAGTATAAAGATCTATATTACTGTTTCCTCTAACATATCATCCACCTGTAAAGAATAATACAAAAGCATTTGATTATGAAAAAAATTATAAATAATAAGTAAGAAATTAAGCCTCAATTCATAAACTATAAACTAAACATATGAATGTTGTCCATGATTTGAATTAAAATGAACTCCAAGGTTCTTAAAAAGGTTGAAGCACCACAGACCTACAATGAAGAAATAACTCATTTAATATTGCTATAAATAGATTGGGTTTAAATAACAATGGGCTGTACAATGACTATTTGATTACTTAATTGTGCCATGAGTTAAGTACAATCAAATAAAAGGAAACCCAATTCTAATTTTTAACAATCAAATAAAAACAAAAGATCAAATAACATTACTTTTCATGTTAAAAAATGAAATCCGATTTACACATTTATCAAAATCACCCAAATCATTTATCAGAACACTAATCATATTTGAAACACTTAATTCTCATTTATGGCATATGTTACTTTTCATATTTGAAAGTTTATTTAGCAAAGTTGAGAGCTCCATCCACTAAACAATAAGTTCTAGACGGTAGAGGATAACTGATATACCATGAATAAAATATCTCATTCAAAGAATTAATAAAAAATCACATAGATATGTAGAGGCCAAACTAATAACCTACCAATCATTTTCCGCCACCAAATTTTACTAAAATTAAACAATTTATCAAAATGAGTAATGTTTCCAACGGAAACTATCAATAAAACACATCAATCACTTATAGTACTTTGCTTCCAAGAATCTATTTATTAAAATTAACAAATAACAAAATATTTGCACATCAACACAGTCTTAAAATAATAATTTGACTCCATACATTAATAAAAATAATGAATTAGTCTAATATGAGGACATTTTCAAGTATTGGTAAAACAATTTGACTCCAAACAACATGAAAAGAAAATTTCATTTTTCTTACAAATTAATAAATCCTAAAATTTTTAGATATGCCACATTAACCGAACCTAGCAAGGGTGCAAATGAGTAGAAATATATGTAGTAGTAAAGTCAACAAATATATACACTTCTGCACTTAAAGTGGACAAATAGATAGAAAAGCAAACAAAAAATATATCATAAAGTCAAATAATTTCATCAAAAGTAATTCATCCATCGGGTGGTCAACCGCTAAAACGTCTCCAAAATATAACTAAGCTAACCTTTTTTTGACAAAAGATAGATATGATAAAGAAATATTATGAGAATTGAATTATTGACATTAAAAGATTTTTTAATTTTTGGGAGAAAAAAAAAAAGAAGGAAAAGATTTTTTTTAAAAAAATGTGGTTAAAGAGTAAGTACTTGGCTCAAAAGATTGGTATTACTTAATTTATTTTTCTCTTCTATAAATTGGTTTTGCTTCCTCTTTTATCCCTAATATTCATACTATCTACCTATGAAGCATGGACACTTCAAAATCAGTGCCGTAGCAGTGTCCGACACGGGGACACGCCGGGGACACGGGGACACGCCGGGGACACGTATGGGACACGCCATTTGGCGTGTCCCTTTAATTTAATGATTTTTTTGAAAGGGGACACGGCGGGGACACGGCAGGGACACGCGTGTCCATTTTGGGACACGCCATGGGACACGGCGGGGCTCAATTTTAAATTTATTATATTTATTTGGGGTCAAAGTGTAATATTTAAAAAATAAAAAAAATAATAAAAAAAAACATGTGTAAAAGCCCTAAATCGAACAAAGAAAGAGTGAAGGAAGGAAGTCAGTCAGACCTTGCGAAGACCTCTCTCTCTCAGTCGAAGACCCTGTCTCTCTGTTGAAGTCGATCGAAACCCTCCGAAGTCAATCGAAGCCCTCCGATCCACTCGTCTTAGTCTCTGTCTCAATCGATCCACTCGTCTGCCTCAATCTCTGTCTCAGACCACTCGTCTTAGTCTCTGTCTCAGACCTTCGATCCACATGACTTCGAAGGTAAGCCCCCCTCTCTCTCTCTCTCTCTCTCCCTCTCCCTCTCTTTCTCTTTCTCTTTCTCTTTTTCTCTTTGCTCTCTGCTCAGCTCAGTGCTCTTGACTGAGTTAGATTTAGATTTTTATTTTTATTTTTTAATACGTTTATATATATAAATATATATGTAAGATTTTATTTTATTTTATTTTATTTTATTTTGTTTGTAATTATATGTTAATATATATGTATATATAAAACTGTTTTTTTTTTTGTTTGTAATTATATGTTAATATATATGTATATATATCTAAAAATATTATAGGTTTATATATATGATGGTTATAATTTATATATAATGTTGATGTTAATTTATAATGGTTCTCATTTTTTTTTTTTAAATCATTCTAATGTTAATATTAATTTATAATGGTGATAATTTACAGGAAAAATGTCTAGCTCAAATTCTACCAATAACACACAATATGCATTTGATGCTGAAGATGATAAGCCACTGTGAAAATATGTGACTAAGGTTAGAAAAATCTGGTGCAAGAGGAGGGAACTATACTTTTCAATGTGCTTATGTGAAGAATATTATTGGATGTTGAATGCTTTGAAAAGCAAACAAAAAATATATCATAAAGTCAAATAATTTCATCAAAAGTAATTCATCCATCGGGTGGTCAACCGCTAAAACGTCTCCAAGATATAACTAAGCTAACCTTTTTTTGACAAAAGATAGATACGATAAAGAAATATTATGAGAATTGAATTATTAACATTAAAAGATTTTTTAATTTTTGGGAGAAAAAAAAAAAGAAGGAAAATATTGTCTTGCTCAATATTGTCTTAGGCATTGATAAATTGAAAATATTGTCTTGCTCAATACCAATTTAATTCAAACTATATGCCATTCAATGTCTTGTGCGAGAAACTAAACAACAACAATTTAATTCTTTTAAACTGTGTTTGGATCATGAACTTGAATATGGATTTGAAAAAGAAAATAAAAATGAAAAGGAAGAAAAAAATTTAATTATATTGCATTTATATTTTACTCACGTTTTTTCTTTCATCTTTCCAAATCTCTACCTAAAATCATGATTCAATAACCTTAACAGATTCATACAAAAGAACTATTGTAATGAACTTTAGATTACATTTTCATTACCCTTAATAGATCCACATAGATTACATTTTCTTAAACAAAACCAAGAAAATATAGAGTAGAGATGAGGTTGCCAATTAAAATTTTATTAAATTCTAAGCATATGAAAACAAACAAACAAATAGGAAAACGTGATTGATTGGTTATCCCCAAAGATATCTTAAATCTCCAAAGATATCTTATATTTACCATAGGAAAATGTCTTAACCATGAACAACAATAAATAAAGTCACTCCCCAAAGATATCTTATCTTTACCATGGGTATTAATGGCACTTCCAAATACAATCCGACTCAAATCAAAATTGAGGGAATTCCTATAACAAAGCTAATTAATTCTAGAACTTGACACATTTCAATCAAGCATCTTCTGAAAGCTAATTGAGATCCAACTCGCGTTATCTAAGACCTGGAACACACTAACAGGATTGGACTGTATGATATGCTTCAACAATAGGATTTCAGTTTGAGGTGGTTGCTAATTTTACATATGAGACAGGCAAAACAAAAAGTGGAGAAAGTAGAAGAATTATCCCTCTACTAAAAAATATACAAAATATAGACATAAATTATACATATCCCTCTACTAAGAAAGTAGATGATAATGTTGGACCCAAAAAATCAATCTCTACCTTTCTTTGACCCATTTACAAATGGATATGGTCATGACTGTACAAAGAAATTACATAGTACATTTAAGTAAATAAAAAAAAAACCACACACACAGAGGCAGCTCTATCAAGGCTTTAATGGTCTTTAAAAAAAATGTTACTATTTGTCAATAAAAAAACAAAGTGTTAAATGAATCAATGTAGAATTAAATTGGGAAAAAAAAATAAAATTAATGTGAGCCTACCAAATTTTTAGGCAATGAGAACACAAAAATGTAATCAAATACCAACGACAATGTTTGGATGCAAAAGATTCTTAAGAAGTTTCAATTTTTTCTCAAGCTCTCTAATGTGAGCCTATTAAGCAAATTGAAACCAATGCTTCAGATACGAATGAACAAAAGTTAGGTTTGCGGATGAAAGCAAATTGAATAATCCATTGCCATTTTCAAAAGTTAGGTTTGTGGATGAAAAACATTAAGATGTGAATTGCTTACCTATTATAGAATAAGAGGAGAGAGAGGAGGGGCCAATCCACTTGATTGTGCCATAGCAACCTAAAAAGTTAAACAAAATCACACCACACCTATCAACATACTGCAGTTAAATCAGAAAAAAAAGGAAAAATAAAATATTCCCCCAAAATGAGTGCAAAATAAGAAAGCAAAATAAGGAAAAAAGGAAAAATAAACATGAGAGCAAAACAAATCAAAATAAAGAAAACGTTTAATATAGTAAGTTTCTTAATCATCATCCATCCTTCATGAGATGCAAAGCAAGTTCACCTTGAGTTATCAGTAACTTGATTACCAACAAAAATAGAAAAGAAACAAAAGGAATATTAAACTTACATTCAGAACTATAGGTTTAATGTTGAATGTCTTGTCAAAAGACTCTTTTTTCCAAGCTGAAAACTTACTATATCACAAACAATTTTTAAGAATTAATTAAAATAAACGTTCAAAAATTCTTTGATACACATCCCCTTAAAAAATGTGTACCATGTACCATAATTCTAATGATTTGTGGTCTTACTTAAGAATTATGTGGCATTTAGTTATAAGATTATGTGACGATCAAATTTATGATGAACTTGGTTACTAGACTTTTTGTGGTGTTTATGGTTATAACCCATGGTGGTTTTGGTTATAAATTTTTGTAATGTTTAATTATAAATTTAAGTGGCCTTAGATATGGGAATTTATGATATTTTTTAAGATTATGTACTACTGTGATTAAAACTTTGGATGCATGTTGTTAAAAAGCTTTCGGGGTGTGTATAGTGACACTTCCAATGAGCATTTATTTATGGTTGAACTGGAACAAATCTAATATGACTTATTGGGTCATTCTATCAAACACGTGTAATGATTGTAATTGATTTGAGTCTAGTAAAACACACACCAAAAAAAAAAAAAAAAAAAAAAAGTTCAACAATCCTATAAATTTTGAAAAAAATAATTAAAGCTAAAATGGTGCATTGATAGTTATAGTTGTGTGCCTATATATATTCTCCAAAATCAAAATAAATAAAACTTATTGGGTCATTCTATCAAACACTTGCAATACATGACTTATTGGGTCATTCTATCAAACACATGTGTGATGATCGTATAAACAATCAACTAAGAAATATCACTAATTGATTTGAGACCAGTAATACTCAAACCAAAAAAAAAACACGATTGGTAAGATTGGTTTATAGATGTTCACAATCACGTTCACAATCAGGTTCCAGAGCTATTGATACAATCTGATTGTTCCCAATCAGAAACACATATACAAACAGAAACACATATACAATCATGTTCCCAATCATGTTCCAAAGCTATTGATACAATCATGTTCCAGAGCAATTAAATCTAAATTTTCCAGAGCTATTAAATCTGATTTTTCCAGAGCTATTGATACAATCATGTTCACACAAAAAGGACTGTTAACAGATTGGTACGATTGGTTTAGGGGATGGAAAAAAACAAACCTAAGAAGATAACAAATAAGATTGGTTTGCTCACCTGAATAGTATTTCTACCAGATTCTTCCATTCGTTTAGATTCTTCAAGGGGGATTGGGGCTGCCACTGTTGATGAAGATTGGGATGGCGGAGAGAGGGACGGAGGAAGAGAGAAGATGAGGAGAGTGATAGGGGTTCGGGGTTGGGTCTCCTGCAAGGGTTGGGCTCCGACAGCGAATTGAAGAAGAGCAAGGAAATGGGCTCCAAGGGAGGTAGAGAGAGAGGGTGTGGGTTCAAAATTTGAAATCAGAGAGAGAAGAGAGGAGTACGTGAGAGAGAGAGAGGGATGTGTGTTATAAAAAACAGAGCCATCAGATTACATTTTGGACCATTAGATCTTATGAGAGGAGTACGTAAGAGAGAGAGAGAGAGAGAGAGAGAGAGAGGGGGTGTGTGTGTTAAAAAACAGAGCCATCAGATTACATTTTGGACCATTAGATCTTGTGATTGGATAGGACAAATGAGAGACATTTTCAGCCCTTGGATTGAATCAATCTAACAGTTTACATTTTGACAAAGAGACAAAAGTCCCATCAGGATTCAAAAACTATCCTTCCTTATTATATAGATATATATATAGCCAATTCCATATAATGTGATTTTAGTAGTCTTTAATTTTAAAGAAGTTATTTGGTGATCTTGGAGTATGGTCCCGTGATGTTATAGGTTTGTTATAATTGGTAGAGAAAATATGATCTACGTTTTTGGGTTAAGTCATTGAGAAATAACAACGATATTGTGATTGGTGATTAGTGATTGGTAAAAGTAAAAAATATTACCATATGACACCTCTAGAACATCAAATAATTTTTCCTACTTTTAAAGGTATAAACATCAAGGGTTCAATAATTGTTTGCATTTAGATTTGATTTTTTTTATTTTGACCAAAAAAAAAATCAATTTAAGAAAATAATTGTGATCTTTGTCTAATGCAAGTTCTATCAATCCATTGGCACATTCATATTTCACAAATTAATATATAAAACAATCAAGAGAAAAATGCGAGAAAATGAATAGTAAGTATCATCTGATTAATGATATTAAGATTAGAGAGATGTGAGGCCTATCTATCCATGGCACATTCATATTTCACCAATTAATATACAAAACAACCAAATTAAAAAAAAAAATGCAATGAAAATTATTGGTAGGTGGCATCTAAAAATGCGATGAAAATGATTAGTAAGTATCATTTGGTTAATAATATTAGGGTTAGAGAAATGTAAAGTCTATCAATCCATTGGCGCATTCATATCTCACAAATTAATATACAAAACAATCAAATTTAAAAATGCATAAAAATTAGTGGTAAGTATCATCTGATTAATGATATTAAGGTTAGCGAGAGAGTGAGTAAATATATTATAATTTTATGTATACATATAAACAAGTTGAGTCAATTTATAAGTAAATTAACAAATTTTAACCCACAACCCAATTGACGGGACAATTGTTATTATGTAATATGTTCAATTCAATCCACTCACCTTTTCAAACAAAATTAATTTGGGGTGGTGTGAGTTTATGAGTTTGGTGATTTTTTTCCACCCCTCATCCAATATACACAAGCCCAATCCAAAATATGAACTGCAACCGGTACCTCCTTCAAGAAGCAACAACAACTTACCTATAAAAATAAATTAAAAAAATTAGAATAATTATCAGCACGTTTTATTGATTGGAAGTAGTTTTTAACCTACTTCCTAAAAAATATGTTTTGTATTTGTAAAATGATTATTGGATAAAGTATCAATAAATTTCAATTAGTGATCTTATCAACTATTTGATTTTATTTATTTATTTATTTATTTATTTAGGACAAATTACAAACACCCCCTTGAGATTTGGTAAAAATACAGATTCTTCCTGAGATTTGAGAAATTACAAATTGCCCCTTGAGGGTCAAATTTTCATAACAAATTAGAAAAAATTAGGGGGGAATCTATATGAAAATAAAAACCTCAAGGGACAATTTGTCATGGAAATATAAACCTCAGGGGGTGGGATGTAATTTCTCAAACCTCAGGGGGGAATCTTTATTTTCACCAAATTTCGAGGGGGTGTTTGTAAGTTGCCCATTTATTTATTTATTTATTTATTTATTTATTATTATTATTATTATTATTATGGATCAAAGATCTCATTTTAGTGTGCATTACATAAAGAGCTAAGCATAAAAATGCGTGTGATATGTCTGGAGGGAAAATGCAGATTTCTCATAATGTTAAAATTACTAAACGTAATATTTTAAAAAAATTTCTTAGTGTACTTTTTTCAAACATAATACTCTAATGTAACACTTTAAAAACGTAACATTCTAATGTAACACACTAAAAAACTCTTTAGTATATTTTTATCAAACATAAAAACGTAATATTCCACAAAACTCATTAATGTACTTTTTTCAAACATAACACTCTAATGTAACATATTAAAAGACTCCTTAGTATAATTTTTTCAAACATAACACTCCAATTAATATAACATTAAAAAACTTTTTAGTATACTTTTTCTAAACATAACACTCCAATATAACACACTATAAAACTGCTTAGTATAATTTTCTTAAACATAATAATGTAATATTCTAAAAAAACTCCTTATCGTATTTTTTCTAAATATAATACTCCAATTAATGTAACACACAAAAACTCTTCAATATACTTTCCTAAACGTAATAACGTAACATTCCAAAAAAACTCCTTAGTATATTTTTTCCAAAAGTAACACTCCAATCAATGTAATATACAAAAAGTTCTTAATGTACTTTTTTCAAACGTAACACTTTAATGTAACGCTCACACTAACAGAAATGTAGATTTCCACACTTGAAAATAATCTTTCGTAACCTCACCTTTCTATTCACATTCCAAAACAAATTAGAAAATTAAAAAATGAATCACAAAAGAGCAGTCACTTAAACTTAAATGGTAAATTAAATAAATACAACTTTTCAAAATGAAAAAGACTAATTAGTTCATAAGAGGGCAGTCACTTAAACTTAGAGTGCGTTTGTTTGGACGAACTGGATAAGGGGATATTAAAATCCATCGAATTGTAATCTTAAGATTCATAGTCCTAGGATTATTTGATTGAATACGATATATATCTCATGTTTGTTTAGCCATGAGATTAGATATCAGAAAAGAACTATTTGGTTGGATAGGATATGAATCCTATATTTGTTTGGGATATTACGGAGAATGATAAATGCTCAAATGATTATTTTACCCTTTTTAATTATTTACTAAGTAATAGCAATATTAAACATATCTTTAATATTTTAATTATTTTTAGCTAGATTAAATAAAAATTTATTTTATTTTATTTTTTACATAATTAAATAAATTTATTTTTTTAAAATTAAATAAATAAAATATCAATAAAAATATATGTTATTTTTTTCATCTATTAAAATTTAAATAATGAAATTAAATAAAATATAAACAAAATTTTAAAATAAAAACATCAATAAAATATTTATAAAAAATTATTTTAAAAAATTAAATAAATAAAACATCAATAAAAATTAAATAAAATTATTATCTTTTTAAATTGAGACATTTAAATTTTATTGAATTTTACTAAATATAACACATCATTAAATAGTAGACGGTCAAAATGGTCATTTTACCATCTAATCCCATATCCTTCCTTATCCCTCAATTTGTGTCCCATCCCCCCATGAGACACAATAGTCCAACACATTTGAGACTAATAGTCCGAAGCAAAATTGAAAAACCAAACAACGGATATAAATCTTATCCCACCCTTTAATCTTATCACACTCTCCAATCTCTCCAAACAAACAACACCTTAGGACTAAATGGATCAACATTCCCCCATATAAAATTTATGGATAAAATATAAAACATGATGTTGAAAGTGTAAGCAGTTGAAACATTTAAAGTGATAATACTAATAAATTTTTTAAAGTGATAAATAATTGAAACATTTTAACTTTTGTTTGTAAATTTTAATTTATTTTTAGCCTATTTGTGTTAGTTTGTATTGAAGTATGATGTGAAAAGTTTAAGTAGTTAAATTTCTTTATTTTAAAATATTCTTATAATCATAAATTTGTCATTGAAAGTTTAACGGGATTTTTCGGTAAATAAATCTGGTCCACAGGACCTTTAACTACTCCTAAAATCATATGTAACTTAAATTTATTTTACATATAAATCTCATAATATATGAATTAAATCTGAATCACATAATAATTTTTTTAAATATTTTTCTATAAACAATTAATGTGCACATATTTTTGTGTTCAAGATCATAAGAAAACTAGGAGTGGTGTGTCTCTAGGGTGGACGTGTCGCGCTGGGCATGTTTGTGTTGGGTTTATACTATATGAACGGGTGGCATACGTATAATTTAGATAAATAAAAATAAAAATAAATAATAAAGAAATTAACATTATAATATGTATACTGATTAAGTGATAAGAGTGCTCTTAATGAAATTTAGGATCTTAAATACTCTTTTGGTAACTTAGTAAAAAGCACGTGTGTAGCTTGTTTACTAAAAAAAAGTTAGGTTAACTTTTTTAGTAAGGAATCATTTTGACAAGTCTAAAAAAGTCAAATTTAAATTTATAATTATATCTTTTATTTTTTTTATATTTACATGGGTGAAATGACTCCTAAGCACTCTTTTTTATTGTAATGTGACATCATAAACAAATATTAATAAAAAAAAGTCAAAAGTAACTTTTTATCAATTTTACAAATCACTTTTTAAAAAAGCAAAAGCTTGGTTAAAAGTCAAAAATCAATTTTTAACTATCGTCTCAAAACACTCCCAAGTTTAGATCTTACTTACGCTTTTAAATAATAATTTTTTGTTTTAAGATAGAAAACTTGTCACGTCACAGAAAGATAAGCCACCAAACTTTTAAACACCAAGATCATTACGCACATATATATAATAAGTGAGGGGTGGCACACACGATGTGGGTGGCACACACGATGTGTGTGCAATTTAATAAGTAGGAATAAAAAAAAATAAAAAAAAAAGGAAAAAAGAAAGAAAAAAAAAAAACAGTTTCCAAAATTAGAAATTAGGGGTATTAGGGGCAACTTTTTTAGGGCCACCAATCATTTTCCTATATAATAATATAGATAATAATATTTGAAGCTATTTTTTGAGTCTGGTCTAGCCAAGATTGGGCCCATACT